TTTAAAAAGTGTACAATCTTTTATTTATTTTCTTAGAAACCTTTATGTTTTTTTTCTTTCGAGTGGGCGCTACTATAATCTACATATTTTTTTAGGGTTTTTCTTTTCTCCTAGAAAAAATTGGTGACCCTAGAGTAGTTTTTTCTAAGATGGTAACTCATACTATCTATTTAGACATAATATATATCTAATTACATAATTTATATAATTTAAAATAGCCGAAGTATATGAAAAGCTTGGGGAAACTAAATCTTTACCTAGGAGTTATTTTTCTCTAGACTAACAAATATGTTCGTACCTTGCAACGGGAAAAACTATCAAACATTAATGTAAAATATTAATGGAGAATACAATCATGATTAGATTGTTTCTTTATCGTAATGCACAAAAAAATTATCATAATGATATTAATTTTTATACTATCTATGTGTTAGTAGAGTTAGATATTCCCTCCATACTAAAAAAATGAAGTAATTTTGGACAAGGCTTGGGTCAAATATTGGGAATATAAATCATGAATAACTTTTAAATTGTTGAGTTTGAAAATATGAAAATCATATGTATAGATTTGTCTTGAAAAATACTTTCACAAAAATTTACATATATCACTTTTTAATAAATATCTTTATAAAAATAAGTAGTCAAAGTTATGCTTGTCGCTGTCAAAACGACTTCATTTTTTTAAGTATCGAGGGAGTATTAAGTTTCATGACTTCTTTTAAGGATCCTGTTGGGATTCGACCTCAAACAAACGCAGTCCCCGCAACTTAACCATTAATTCTCAAATCAATGATTTCCTGAGTAATTTTTTTGCGTATCAGGGATGTCTTCATACTGTAAGACAAAAGAAGACTTCATGATACAGGAGAGAACAAGGATTCGAAGGCAACCGAGTCACCTCGCGGGAAGGCAAAGACAAAGAACAAAGAACAAAAATAACCGGTCCGCTTCGCTGTCAAGCGAAGTCGAAAGTAAGCCAATGCAGATCAATTCGTCTCTAAGCTACGAAGACTTGTCTCCAATAATCCTTCTTCCAGGGACCGCTTAGAAAATGTTATATCAAAGATGTAATGACAAAATTGCCCTTAAACACGAAGAGCATTGTAAGCAATAAACTCAAGGGTACTGTAGACATTGTACTAGGATTAACGAAGGTCGATACCTCCATAAATACTCCCTGACATATAATGTTCATGGACATAAAATGAATACTCAATGGAGTTTATTTTGCCTTCCGATGCTTGAGTGATCTATTTTCACCCAACAGTGCTCGCCTTGCTGGAGAGCGTTCCGTGCCGCTGCCTTGAAGAACAGCGGCGTTGTGCGAACGGGAGGAGCTAGCAGCAGCGCGAGACAAGGAAACAGTGCGGCGGCGGCCTGGGGGGACGAATGATTTTTTAATCAGAGCGACGTGAAAGCTAGACCGAGCGAGTGGGCCGACGCGAGCGAGTGACCGGACAAGTGGGTCAAGTGGGTCAGATAAAAAACACAGAAATTTTAAATTTTGACACTTTAATATTAGGTATGAATGTGGCTGCAAAACTAGTATTGCCAATTGATTAAAAAAAAACTAATATTGCCAATTAGACAACATAATTAATGATTAATGTGTGATGAGTCTAGGGCCTCAATGGCAACAATGTCCAACATGTTGTAATAACATGGACTGTGTTTTTTTGACAAAAAAAATGTAATTCTAGATTTGGATCAAATCAAACTTCTTTATTTTTAATAACTAAGTTTAAGAAAATGTTTTGAATATTTATAACTCCATATGGTATAATAATATATTTCATGATTAATTTAGTAATACTTAATTGGTATTATAAATGTGTACTTTTTATAGATTTGATTAAATTTAAAAATATGATTTCTTAGAAAATGAGAATTTTTTTTACAAAGGGACAATAAAAAAATCGTTTCCTCGCATGACGCATGACGCCACGAGTCCACGACAGAGCCGTGCAGTAGCCGGAGTTGCAGCCGTAGAGACCTAGGTTAGGAGCCCGGGCAAAAGCGCGAGCCCGTTGTCCTGTCCCAGGACTAGGGATGAAAACGGATCGGATACGAACGGATATCACTCATATTATATTTGTTTTCATATTTCTGTTCGGATTCGGATTCGGACACGGATAGCGTTCGGATACATATACGAATACGGATTGACTCGGTTACGGATACGAATAATGAGTATCGAATACGGTATGAATCGGATTCGGAGAAGGTCGGATACAAATATCTATTCGGATATTGAGTAAAAGCAGTATATATATATATATATATATATATATCATACGTGCGCAAACCATTACACCACTCTATGAGTCCATAATCCATCTAAATTAAGCCGAAAGACTAAAGAGTAAAGCAACAAATAAGATAAAGATACAGATACATCATACATCAAACATCATATAAGCACTAATCTTCGCGGCATGAGTAGAAATAGCCAAGCACATTGCTTCATGGGTCTCATGGAGTCATGGTCATGGATTCAAGATCTACAATCCTTATATAGGCCATTTTTTCATTTTGAGAAAGTTTGAACAAAATGTAGTTCAAATTTCACAAGTGTGTGACATAGTTTTAGAAAGTCTGTATGAGATTTAAGAATTTGTGACTAGTGTTTGATAAAACTTTCTCAAATGGGAAAATGAGCTATGTAACAATTGTATATCTTGCTGAGATGATCAAACTTGGTATTCAGAGTTTTTTCATCTGAGGTCATTTAGTGTCTCATTTGAGCAAGTTTGACCAAGTCAAATTTGGTCAAATGAAAAAACAACACTTTGACTCTAGTATTATGAACTCTAAATGACTTCAAATTGAAAAGTTTTGAATACCAAGTTTGTTCAACTCATCAAGATCTACAATTCTTGTTTTGGTCAACTTTCCATTTGAGATAGTTTGGACGGTTTAAATTTGTGATTTTTAAATTTCGATGCTTACAAACTAGTTTTCGGAACCCTAGATTGTCTCAAATTGAAAAGTTTTGAATACCAAGTTTGTTCAGCTCATCAAGATCTACAATCCTTATATAGGCTATTTTTTCATTTGAGAAAGTTTGAACAAAATGTAGTTCAAATTTCACAAGTGTGTGACATAGTTTCAGAAAGTCTATATGAGATTCAAGAATTTGTGACTAGTGTTTGATAAAACTTTCTCAAATGGGAAAATGAGCTATGTAAAAATTGTAGATCTTGCTGAGATGATCAAACTTGGTATTCAGAGTTTTTTCATCTGAGGTCATTTAGTGTCTCATTTGAGCAAGTTTGACCAAGTCAAATTTGGTCAAATGAAAAAACAACACTTTGACTCTAGTATTATGAACTCTAAATGACTTCAAATTGAAAAGTTTTGAATATCAAGTTTGTTCAACTCATCAAGATCTACAATTCTTGTTTTGGTCAACTTTCCATTTGAGATAGTTTGGACGGTTCAAATTTATGATTTTGAAATTTCGATGCTTACAAACTAGTTTTCGGAACCCTAGATTGTCTCAAATTGAAAAGTTTTGAATACCAAGTTTGTTCAGCTCATCAAGATCTACAATTCTCATATAGGCTATTTTTTCATTTGAGAAAGTTTGAATAAAATGTAGTTCAAATTTCACAAGTGTGTGACATAGTTTCAGAAAGTCTATATGAGATTCAAGAATTTGTGACTAGTGTTTGATAAAACTTTCTCAAATGGGAAAATGAGCTATGTAACAATTGTATATCTTGCTGAGATGATCAAACTTGGTATTCAGAGTTTTTTTATCTGAGGTCATTTAGTGTCTCATTTGAGCAAGTTTGACCAAGTCAAATTTGGTCAAATGAAAAAACAACACTTTGACTCTAGTATTATGAACTCTAAATGACTTCAAATTGAAAAGTTTTGAATACCAAGTTTGTTCAACTCATCAAGATCTACAATTTTTGTTTTGGTCAACTTTCCATTTGAGATAGTTTGGACGGTTCAAATTTGTGATTTTTAAATTTCGACGTGTACAAACTAGTTTTCGGAACCCTAGATTGTCTCAAATTGAAAAGTTTTGAATACCAAATTTGTTCATCTCATCAAGATATACAATCCTTATATAGGCCATTTTTTCATTTGAGAAAGTTTGAATAAAATATAGTTCAAATTTCATAAGTGTGTGACATAGTTTCAGAAAGTCTATATGAGATTCAAGAATTTATGACTAGTGTTTGATAAAACTTTTTCAAATGGAAAAATGAGCTATGTAACAATTGTAGATCTTGCTGAGATGATCAAACTTGGTATTCAAAGTTTTTTCATCTGAGGTCATTTAGTGTCTCATTTGAGCAAGTTTGACCAAGTCAAATTTGGTCAAATGAAAAAACAACACTTTGACTCTAGTATTATGAACTCTAAATGACTTCAAATTGAAAAGTTTTGAATACCAAGTTTGTTCAACTCATCAAGATCTACAATTGTTGTTTTGGTCAACTTTCCATTTGAGATAGTTTGGATGGTTAAAATTTATGATTTTTAAATTTTGAATAAATACCCGGATAATATCCGTTTTTAAATATCCGGATATATCCGATACTTATCCGAATTATCCGATATCCGCCGGATATCGATGATATTACATCCGTATTTGATATCCGCCTAAGGTATCCGTTTTAGTATCCGTATCCGAAAAAAAAAACCCGGATATCCGAGTAAATATCCAAATAAATGTTCATATTTGTTCGGTCGAACGGACGGTCGAATAAATATCCGTACCGTTTTCATCCATACCCAGGACCCATCCATTGCCACGCACGCGGACCGTGCGCGCCGCGCACCCGAGACGTCACTGAAGCTCTCGAGCCGCGGGGCGGAATCGATCGGGACTCGGGAGGAAGACGAAGGCCGAAGGAGCAGCGACGGGAATCCCTGACCCTCTCGCTCGCTCGCTCGCTACAGCACCAGCAACGCTCTCACCTTGTCTGGCCTCGCAGTGCCAAACTACCAACCGAAGAGAGGCGTGTGTGGTGGTGGTGGCAATGGCGGCGAGGAGGGCGGCGCTGCTCGTCGCTGTCCTCCTCCTGCACCAAGCGGTGTCTTCGCTTGCTGGGTACGGCCCTGGATCCGTCACAACTGGTTTCCTCCGACTCTTTATCGGGGGTTCTTCTTTTCGTGTTCTTGGAATTCGCTCTGCAGTCTGCACGCGAGTTCGTTAGTAGCCTACTAGCCTCAGATCAATCTGTCGGCGAAAATCGCATCTTGCTCAAGGGTTTCAAATCGATGACGCAGGGCTTTCATGATGTACTGCTCAAAATCACTTTCTTCCACACCTGGGTGCCCAGAGTTTCTGCATTCCTTAAACCTTCTCTTGCATTTTTTTACGGTTTAATTGCTAGCTAGTATTTTTCCAGTTCCTGGAGTCATAATTGCTCAAATTCTGAACAATTTTCCACTCCTCCGTAATGATGTTTCACAATATTACCTATAAGCATTGATGAGTTTGTACTGATCATTCTGATGTATAATCCATTTTTTGTATGCAACCAATGGAGTAGAAAGAGCTACTATGAAATACTGCAAGTGTCAAAGGGTGCATCGGAGGAACAAATCAAGAGGGCCTACCGCAAGCTTGCGCTGAAATACCACCCTGACAAGAACCCCAACAATGAGGAAGCCGACAGGCGGTTTACCGAGATCAACAATGGTATGTAGTATGTACTAGTACTTTGGAGAATATTTTTGAGTGATCATACTACCAGAGAATGGAACATTTCTGACGGTTCCAATATTTCCTGACCGTAGTGACTAGTGAGGTTTCATCTTGCAGCCTACGAGGTCTTGACAGATCAGGAGAAGAGGAAAGTCTATGACTGGTACGGTGAGGAGGGTTTGGAGCAATTCCAAGGCAGGCACAATGATGGTGATGGTGGTCATGCTATGAACATCGAACACGTGTTTAGCAAGTAAGTAGAAAATTGCATGTTATATTAAAGAGTGAAATACACTGGCGGCCCTTTAACTTGTCGGCCTGTGCCAGTCCGGTCTACGAACTTGCAAACGTGGAAAATAGGCCTCTGAACTTGTCAAGTTGTTCACCGCAGATCCATTTCACATCCGGCGCGGCCTCCAGGCGACGTGGCAGCGCCAACGTGGCGGACGAAGCACGTGAGCCGCACGTTTCAATACCGAACGCGGCGGGGTGGCGCTGCGTCCACATTGTTTGGTGGACCGGGAGGCGCGAGACGCGGCGGCGCCCATGGCCAGCAACGGCGAGCTCGGCGGGGTGGCGCTGTGGAGCGCTAGCGCCTGTGCGGGTTACACGGGGGCGGAGAGCGCGATGAGGCGAACTCGCCTAGGACATTCCCCGCGGCGGAGGACGTCCGGAGGCGGCAGTACGTGCGGCGAGGCGACTCGGCCGCGGCGGCGCAGCTCCGGCGAGCCAGAGTGACGCGCAGAGAGGGAGAGGAAGAGCGCGGGAGCACTGGAGGTTGCCTTAGCACGCCCCGAAGCTCGTCGACAAGCTCGCGTCTACTGGAAAGCGGCAAAGGAGGAGATCGACGGCGGCAGCGACGCTGCTAGCTCGCGATGAGGCGGCGGCGCCTGTAGAGTGATAGAGGGAGCACGGGGAGAAGCGGAGTGAGTGCGGAGTGCTCACGCGACATTCTGGGCACCATTTTAGAGGGAGAGAGAGACCGCGGGAGGAGAGGAAAGGCCGGTCAAGGAGCTCGGCTCCATGCCGACAATGGCGGATCTCTGACTCGGCGCTGCGGGACAAGCGGCTCGGGGCGAGGGGCTGCAGCGCGTAGAAAGGGTCCGCGCGGGGTGCTCGGTCGTGCAGGGGACGCGGGAGAAGGCCGCGGCCAGGCGTGGTCCAAGCGCTGTCGGCGATGGCGTTCGCCCTGTGCGGAGCGGGAGGTAGGGGGCGACCCTGACGTGAGGGGCCTACATTGAAACGTGCTGCTCACATGCTTCGTCCGCCATGCTGGCGCTGCCACGTCACCTGGAGGCCGCGCCAGATGGGAAATGGACCTGCGGTGAGCAACTTGACAAGTTCAGGGGTCTATTTTCCGCGTTTGTAAGCTTCGTGAACTGGACTGGCACAGGCCGACAAGTTAAAGGGCCGCCAGTGTATTTCACTCTATATTAAATGTTTTTTTGTTTACATCAGCTTATTTTGACAACTAAATATAGAGAGTGAACTGTGAACACAAACTGTCTCTACGAAGCATACATTATTGTCACAACATAGAACTAAAAACATGATGCAAACCATATTTCATAATTTATTAATACCTTCTTTTTTTTCAACTCAAACTAGGCTCCCTTACTTCAATGAGACCTAACCTCTTTCCAAAAGGAATGAGAATTTTGGTCTTATCTTAACTAAGACATTATTAGCCTTGTATGTTATGGCAAGGTTTAAGCGCATGTGGTTGGCCTACAAAAATTAAGTAAATCACAATTATTTTGGTTGGGTCCATAGATTTTTGAAAACTGATGATTTATTAGAATGACAAGCTTGATTCTCCTGACCAACTTATGTTGTATATATGTGAACTTTAGGATTTAGTATATTTAGTACATAGAACCATGTGACATATCTTCAATTCATTCTTTAGCTGATGGATGCCATTGATTCAAATGTGTTGCGCTGTGCTGTAGATGAAGTTAGTCAGTATGGAATATGAAAAAATTATCACGATTTTATTGAAAGATCTTAAAAAGATGCCTGTCAAGTCTATGCTGCTTGCTGCAAGTTCTAGGCTGTCAGAATTCGGACAGCACGTCATGAGCGCTTCAGAAGAGAAGGCAACGACCTACATACAACAGTGGAAATCTCACTGGTACTGTTCACTCAATCTTGTTTCCTCGTTAACAGTGCTACCTAGGCAGAAATTACTAATTATACAGATCTACCCCTAAGGGTCTTTTTGGTCGAAGGTCTGATTGCACTGAGAGAACCAAATCAGTTTTTGTGCTTCTTCGTAGATGAAGATTGCTAGATGTTAAGCCAATGCATTCATTCAGCTACAAGTCAGATAGGGTTCTTGAGTACATTCTGAAGTAGGAAATTCAGCTAAAGAATAGTGTCCTTTTTTTTATTGCTGATTCTTTAGTGTTGCTGAAGGCTTACTAAGTATGAACCACGAGCCTCAGTCATTCCACCAGACCAGAGTTAGTCATCCGTTAGTTTAGGCAGCCTAGAGCAACTTTGCCAATTATCACTCTCTTCCATTTCTCATGCGCTTACTCTTACATTAGTTCTGTTGTCAACCCTGAGCTTTCATCTATCTTGCAGTCAGAAGCTCTTGTTGGATTTGAGAAGAACATAAAGCACCTTGACACCCATGCGTGGAAATCGGGACCAAGGTAACTTGGCAGTGATTTTGAGTTTTGTACCCTGCAAGAAATTATCTTGTGTGAAAATGCAAATGTGCAAACATAAACTTTGCTCATTGACAAAAATTTCAGGTGATCACGAAACCAAAAGAATTTAGGAAGTTCGAAGGAGAGGGCGTGCCAGTGTACCATAGCAATGAGAAGGGAGACCTGTACGTCATTTTCGAGGTAGTCTTCCCTAAAGACCTAACTGATGATCAAAAGGCCAAGCTGATGAGCATTTTTACTTGACCACCATCAAGTTCAGCTCTTGAGCTAGTTGCCAAGAGCATAGGTAAACATGCCAATAGCAGCACGAATATTTTGTTTTTTAAGTGTTGTTGCTCAGATTCACAGGTAGACAGACGTAGAAAATGTATGCATCAGTATATCTGTAAATTGTCTGGCAATTTTAATTTTCAACTATCTCCTCCGCCAGCAATGCTCATGAGTTGTCTGGTTCAACACAAACAAAAAGTCTGCATTTATACATTAAGATGTGTTGAAACAGCAACCTTTCATCTTCACTGAGTAGGGCATACAACCATAGCAGTAACTGTCAGGAAAGTAACTAAAATTTGTACCAGAAAAGTTACAAGTCGATGCCAACAATTGTCCAGACACATGCAGTGCATTTGTACTAGTTACTGTAACATGCAGATTGTACAACTAGGAAGGCATCATATGTTAGTCGTAGCCAGCGTCTCTTCATCCACATCAAAAGCTTTCCTTGCTTGCTTGAGCTCTTCATTCATGGACAGTAGCTCAGTAGCACGGTGCAGTTTTCGTAAATCCTAAAAAAACAGACTAAAGTGTGAGCTGCACTGCAAATAAGCAAGGCAATCAAATGTGGGGTCAGACTGTGTGTACCTTGCGGATAAGATAAAGAAAATCCTCTGTCAGGAGCTTCCCTCTCTTTGAGGCAACATTCTGCGCCTTGTGCACCTGAGAAAGGGGCATTATGGATCCACTGAATGATGAAGCTGCAAATAACAGTATAAACACATGCCAGATGTGTCTGTGATTTTATCCATCTAATAATGACTCACAGGAACACTTGCACAGTGGTCATCTACTACAAAATTGTTATTTCCAACAAATAATTTGAAGCACATGAATTTGCTCAATAGTCAAAAGTGGGGGTGTATGGACGGTAAATGGGGGAAGGGCTCAGGTGTTAACTAAACTGCCTATAATTTGCATACTCCCAAATCATGCATGAATAAACATAATGCATATTACCAAAAAAAATCAAATAGACACATCAGGGCTCCATGTGACATAATGCAAGTAATCAAATGAACAAATCAGGGCCCTATGTGAAACAAATAAACTTTTAATAGAAGTTGGCGAAACAAGGTCCGGAAACATTCAACAAAGCCCTGATTCAACTGCTTGATGTGAACAAACTCATGTGTAGTATAAATTCCAATCTTAAGCACAATGCAGAAGCAACATCAACTACCAAAGTTTAATGATGAAAGATATAATTTGTGGGATAAACGTGCACATTGGGCACAGCATAGATTAGTGGAAACTTGATACCTACACTGAGAAACTACAAAGTTAATTTACATTAGGACACTAGCATAAACTTTAGATATTGTACAAAAATGGGCACACTGCATATGAACACCACAAAAAAGAATCTCAAAGCATGGCCCATAATGACATCATGAAGTTATCAATAGAGGCAAACACAGTGGTTCAAAACTTACTTGTCTTTCAAGAACACCAGAACAAGGAGTTCAAGAAGGTAACAATATTGAATGTTGAAACAGGAATAACAATTCAACAATCAGAATCATTAAAAACAGGGTCAATCCTTTTTTTTTTCTTTCCATTCACATAGCCTTACAATCAGTACACATAGCATCTCAGCAGACATAGCACAGAAGATAGAATCATAGAAACACAAAATAAGCTTACCAGGTCAGTGACATATTCGACAACAATGTCCTCCACAAGTGCAACGGTTTCTGGAAGTGGCTGCCAAATCAAGAACACAACATATGAGCGAAGAAGAATCCAATTTCTGTTTGTAAGGAAAAACCATGTGCCTCTTTCTTTACATGGAAGTTATTTAAATAATCATACGTAAGCATTGCAAATTGAAGGTCCAATGCATATTATCATCACTACCATTTACTGCCTTTTATCATCACTTGTAATGTAAATTACTGCTCTGAACTACATTGATTGGCTTATTGGTCGCAGCATATATCTTTAAAAGAATAAATTCAGGAACTAAACAGGAAATTGTTCAGTAAACTCACATTTGGATCATCCCCAAAGCCATACATCATGTGCTGCACTGCAAGAACGTCAACAAAAATTATACTACAACACATAAAATTGAGGATGAGCAGCAAATTAATTGAACGCCTAATGACAGAACAAAGGCTAAAAATTAGCAAAGTAGGGAGTAAGCGTCCCGTACGGTCTTTCTGGAAGACGCCGCGCTTGCGCTTGAGGGTGGTGGCGGACGCGTCGGCGCCGCCACCACCACCGCCACCGCCGGCAGAGTGGTGGTGGGAAGAGGAGCCCTGGCCCGAAGCCGCGGCCTGCGCCGCCGCCGACTTGCCCTT